TCTAGGCGCTAGGCGCTGGTCGAGCGCCTAGCGGGCGCTTAGCGACTTCTAGAACACTGGTTCAAATATCCCTTAAATATTGTATCACGCGTTGCTTAATTGTGTGTATATGCCATGAAGTACATAATAGCTAGTAATATAGATTAGCATGCTAAGTTTTATTTTGTCCCCTTTAAAAAACAAGTCAAATTTGAAATAAATAGAGAGTCAAAAAGGGCACATGAAAAAAGTTTGGTTTCTATTTGGGTCTCCCACGGGCCATGATAGTGAGTTGGACCAGTTTAATAGATCTGTTATCTGTATCCTTATGCAAGCCCAAACAGTAGCTTAAATATCAGCCCATTGCGTGTGGCTGTTGATACAAAATGATAAAAATTTTCTTAAAAAGATACTAGAGACCAGCATAAACAAGTCCGTTGTAGTCTAGGTGGTTAGGATACTCGGCTCTCACCCGAGAGACCCGGGTTCAAGTCCCGGCAACGGAATATTTTTTGCCCAATTTTTTCTTTTCAATTGACTTTATTCCTTTTTTCCTGTTTATTCTTTTTCTTTATTTTTTTTTTTTGGCTGTCATAATAGAAAAAAGTGCAAGCAACTAAAAAAACCAACAATTTTAAATTTTTAATATATCATTTTCATACTTCAAACAATAGAGGACAATTTAAATACTTCAGCTAGTAAAAAAAAATCAACAAATTTAATATGTTCTTTTCATACTTCAAATAATAGAGGACAATTTATAAGCTTACTGATCCACACAATAAAGCCAACAAATTTAACACATTATTTTCATACTTTAAACAATATGAGACGATATATAAGCTTACTGATCCTCACAGCACAATTCATTCAAACACCTCACATAAACCAAACCTTACAAATCATAACAAACCCCAAAATTGAGTTCCCACACATCAACAAACATATCAAAATAGAGGAACATTAAGGCGTTGTTTGGGGATCGCGACAAGTTGGACCGCTCTAGGAGCCGTGAGCCCAAACAAATCGTTCATGTCGAGGTCATCGGGCTTCAACCCATCCGGAAGCTCCCAATCGAAGCTATGACAAAGATGGGCCACCGCCAGCTCGAGAGCGTAAAGCCCAAGTTGAATCCCGGGGCACGACCTCCGGCCCGACCCAAACGGTATGAACTCAAAGTTACTCCCCTTGAAATCGGGCGCATCATCGTTCAAGAATCTGGACGGGTCAAACTTATTGGGTTCGGCCCACGCGCTCGCGTCACGCCCGATAGCCCACGCGTTGATCATCACGCGGGCCCTAGCGGGGATTTTGTAGCCGTTGATAAATGTGTCGGTTGAGGTCTCATGGAGGAGGAGAGGAATCGGAGGGTGGAGGCGAAGGGTCTCTTTGACGACACATTTTAGATACGTGAGCTTTTCGAGATCCGATTCGTTGACTTGACGGTCCAAGCCCACTACATTGACGAGCTCTTGTTGGACCTTCTTTAGGTCTTCCCAACTATGCATTAGTTCAGACATGGCCCACTCTATGGCTGAGGCCACGGTTTCCGTTCCACCAAACATGACATCCTAATGGAGGAAAAAATGATAAATGAAAAAAAAAAAAGTAACAAATGTGTAATTTGTAATAATTTGCTTTATTGTATAAAAAATTATTTGGCCAAAATTATTTGTGACCAAAATTAGGAAAACAATTATAGAGAAAAAATAAATATAGTTAGGAAAAAAAAATTAATATAATTATGATGATTCTCAATTAGTTGAAGCAAATTTGGATGGTCTTATTCCCATGATATATCCAACCTTTAAAAAACTGTCATATTCCTTAAAAGCAAATGGATATAATTTTTTCTAATAAAGACTCATATTTTTCCTTAAAAAACATTTTGTAAATTTAACACATACATTTAAAAAAAATGTAATAATTTGAAAATTAAATAAAATAATTTTGTTACCATTATGAGAGCCTTGATGTTGTCCCTAGTAATGCTGACAGACGACTTACGGTCAACACTTTTTGCGCCATTCTCATCATAAAACTCGATCAACTCATCGACCATGTCATCTTCAACGTCCACAAAATCGTGATTTTTCTTTCTATCCTTCTTACCAACATGATCGTCGATAATTTTGTCGATAAACCCGTCTAACGACCCGCGAGCCCCGGCAAGCCTCCTTTGAAAATCCCCACCGTGGACCCACCCGAGCCACGGGATAAAGTCCCCAATGTTGAAAGCCCCAAACAGCTTTGAAAACTCCTGCATGATCTTCACAAACTCCCCCTGGCCCTCTTGTGACATGGACCCAAACGCGGCCCGATAAGTGATGTTCTTGGTAAGCCCAAGAACAGCCTCCCCAATATTGACCGGTGACCCAATCCTTAAATGGACCGTTTTAACAAGCGAATGTATTTCCTCGCGGACTGAAGCCCAGGATTCGGCCCGTTTACGGCTGAACACCTTTGTCACGCAGATCTTGCGCATCTGGCGCCAGAAGGGCCCGTAATGGGCGAAGGCCATGTCGGCCCGGTTGTAGGTTAGGTAGCTTATGGCGATGGTCGCGGGCCGGTTTGAGAATATGTTGTCCTGGGCC